CTCTCATCAACCCGTCTCATGTAACATGTCCTAGTCTCTAACTGTTTCTTACAGCATGTCTTCAGTCTATAAACATGCCAGTAGCAGTCTCTGGCCATCTTCAGTACCTCTTCTGTGACATTAAATACGGTATATTGAATATTATATTTAGCCTTTATCAGTGGCCCCCTCTTCCTCATCAGTGGCCCCAGTTGAGGCCCCCCTCTTCCTCATAAGTGGCCCCAATTGAAGCACCCTATTCCTCATCGGTGGCCCCAGTTGAAGCACCCTATTCCTCATCGGTGGCCCCAGTTGAAGCACCCTATTCCTCATCAGTAGCCCCAGTTGAAGCCCTCTATTCCTCATCAGTGACCCCAGTTGAAGCCCTCTATTCCTCATCGGTGGCCCCAGTTGAAGCCCTCTATTCTTCATCAGTGACCTCAGTTAAAGCCCTCTATTCTTCATCAGTGACCCCAGTTGAGGCCCCCTATTCCTTGTCAGTGACCCTAGTTGATGCCCCCTATACCTTGTAAGTTCTAATCACAAGCATATCAGGGAGATATGCCATTTATCTTCAAGCCTGAATAAAGTAAGTGGATGAGGTGCCTCTTCCTCAGTCCTTACCTTCACCACCTTCGTCATCAAACTCGAGCTGCTTCTGTAGAGTGAGGGCCTCTCTGCGGATCTCTGTGGGGATCAGCCGGTTTTCTGTGGACAGAGATACAAGTTTAGTATTTCCATGACCAAAGTGTACTATGCAAGTCTGGTGTCAGCATCCCTCCTTTTCACAAACCTTCTAAAGCTTTCTTCAGTCTCTGCTTCTTGTCCTCTATGTTATGCTGTTTGGCTTCTTGAGCTTTTCGGTAGAGGTACTCCCTCCGCAACCGAGCCTCCCTGCGGAGCTATAAAGACGATCCGACAAGCCAGAATTAGCATTAATGTATTTGACTTCAGGGTCAGAAACAAGTCAGACGCAGCATGCTTTCAGAGAAAATGGCTTATTAGACCCTCTGCTTTTGTTGCATATATCTACTGCTAGCTAGCAGTAGATATATGCAAAAATTTTTTTTAAAGGCTAAGGCTTTGAACTTACCCCCGTCTTCGCCACGCGCTCCCGTCCGAAAATCTGAAACTTCTCGGGCAGCCGCAAAGCATCTTGGGGCAGGCGCAGTTCAGATTTTCGGCCGGGAGACGAGGAGAGACGCAAGGTAAGTATATGGACACCGTGGGACAGGAAGTGCAAGCAAGCACAGAGGAGTCAGCCCTGGATCGGACCCCCGCCACAGCGCTGGAGGGACAGATGAAAACGACAGGAAAGAAGAAGATCGGATTAAGAGACATCATTTAAGGTAAGTGCTGACATTAACATTGGGGGAGGGAAAAATATTTTTAACTTTAACTGACTGAGGAAGTAAATAAAGAAAATAAAGAGCTGCAGACTGATAAGGTCATCTCTCTGCTCTCCTTCTGTCAGCATGCTCCTTGTCAATATATTTAAATACAGAACACCTTACTGGCCTTTAGTGGTACACCCCTCTCTGTACAGCGGATGATATCATGTTAAACCCGGGTATTCACCTTAACTGCCATTAAAATAATTTTTTTCAATTAAAAACATAAATCACATTCATTGTTATATTTTTTTTTTTATATATCTGCCTGGAGCTCAGGTACCAAGGGACATTCTAGGCTTCAGGTCTTGTTCACATCGCCTTCAGATTGTGTAAGAGCAAAATGTATAGCAAGCTTTTCAGAAGCATTTGCAGAGCTTTTAGAAAGCTTTTTCGCTGCCAGAGCCATTATTATGATTTTTGCATACATGTTGAAATGCACATTTTAGGCCTGAAGATTACTTAAAACCCACTAAAATGATATATTTTCTGAAAGCAGAGACCCTGTAGAATAAAATGGTGACAATTGCAATTTTGTATGTTACATATTAGTGCAACTGTTTATCAAACCCAAATGTTTTGTAAAAAAAATATACTTGAAGGTAATTTTAGTGCACATAAACACTATATACTACCCAAATATAAAAATAAGTAATTAGATACCAAACACGTCAAGCTTCAGAACTGCACGCGGCCAAGAAATGCCGAAAAAAACCCCCAAAAAAACAAGATTGTCTATAGGTGACAATATATAGGTCGGTCGGTGTATTAAAGCTTTGACAGGTCATCAATCGCTAGTCTCCCTCCCTTTTCAGCTGCCACGCCAGTCTGAAGCCCGTAGGAGGGGCAGTGGAGCCCAGGAAACATGGCAGAAGCACAGACTTGGTAGTCCGTGTAGATATGTAAACAGCTGGAAGTCTGCTAACAGTGCCCCTCTGCTGCCAACGTATGGCATAGGTCAGCAGGCTTCAAGTGACACTGAACTCAGGAGTTAAATCTTGAAAACGCATTCAGTTACCTTATGTATTAACAAAAATGTATCTTATTTGTGTATCATTTGGCTGTATATCGTCAGATCATCTCTGAATTGGTGCTGACACTGTCCTTCCTTCTGGAGGGTGGATACGTCTGTTCCCAATGATGTGTGTGTGTGGTAAAGTAGCCACCACTACAAGTTTACTACTGTGATGGACTACAGTCTCATGTTTAGTTTACTAGTTTGTATTGAGATTGTAGTCCATCCCGGAAGTGTGCTTGGTACGGTGGCTACTTTATAACACACACATGGACCATGGGGGAACAAAAGTAGCCACCCTCCAGAAGGAAGGACAGTGTCAGCATGAATTCAGAGATGATTTGAGGATCTACAGCTGAGTGATGCACACATAAGATACATTTTAGTTAATAATTAAGGTACTTGAATGCATTTTTAAGATTTAACTCCTGAGTTTAGTGTCTCTTTTTAGTAAGCTGTAGCACCACTTGAAGCTCATGGAAAGTCAGCACTCCTATTAAGATCTCTGTTTGACATTCCCAATAGTGGAACCATAGACATAGATGGAGTATAAAGCATAGGTCCAGTCATAGAAGTACTGGACCTGACACATGGATCATGGAGTATAAAGCATTGGTCCAGTCATAAAGTACTGTACCTGACACGTAGATTATAGAGTATAAAGCATTGGCCCACTAATAGAAGTACTGGACCTGACACGTAGATCATGGAGTATAAAGCACAGATCTGTCCATGCAATAGTGTAATGTACTAACTAGTCAGCCCCCAGGACACAGACTGGTAGGTACTGGCACACTGGGTGCCGCTCCGGTAAGTAGACATAGCCATATTGAAGCTACAATGAGGAGAGATCTGCACTCACCATGATAGCAGCCGGAGACCACACGTGGAAGTGATCCGCACACTCTAGCAGCCCCTGACCAATCAGAAGCGTCCTTTCTGTCGCCCACACTTAAAATGGCGGAGCCTGCAACAGGAAGTGGCCCGAGAATAGAATGCAGTTCCGGGTTGGCAAAGTCACATGAGCGGTCAGGTCAAAAGGATCAGCAGAGGGGTGAGTGATGTGTGGCCGGTGTATTAATCCTCAGAAAAGCTCAACAGAGGGGTGAGTGATGTGTGGCCGGTGTATTAATCCTCAGAAAAGCTCAACAGAGGGGTGAGTGATGTGGCCGGTGTATTAATCCTCAGAGAAGCTCAGCAGAGGGGTCAGTGATGTGTGGCCGGTGTATTAATCCTCAGAAAAGCTCAACAGAGGGGTGAGTGATGTGTGGCCGGTGTATTAATCCTCAGAGAAGCTCAGCAGAGGGGTGAGTGATGTGTGGCCGGTGTATTAATCCTCAGAGAAGCTCAGCAGAGGGGTGAGTGATGTGTGGCCGGTGTATTAATCCTCAGAGAAGCTCAGCAGAGGGGTGAGTGATGTCTGGTCGGTGTATTAATCCTCAGAGAAGCTCAGCAGAGGGGTGAGTGATGTGGCCGGTGTATTAATCCTCAGAGAAGCTCAGCAGAGGTGTGAGTGATGTGGCCGGTGTATTAATCCTCAGAGAAGCTCAGCAGAGGGGTGAGTGATGTGTGGCCGGTGTATTAATCCTCAGAGGGGTCAGTGATGTCTGGTCGGTGTATTAATCCTCAGAGAAGCTCATTGTGGGCATGAATAGGGCTGAAGGAGTTGGTCCTGGAAGTCCCCCCCTTCAGACAATGTCCCTGGGACTCAGCAAGTGTGGCTTGCAATATGTTGTCTTTATTTTACCATGTCCATTTTATTATTGATTTACTTTCTGGGCTGTTGATGTGATACTTCAAACGATTTTGTGTTTTAGCTTTAGATACAGTTTGGAAAAGTTCAGCTTTGTATCAGATTGTTGTTTCTGTTAGTGACTCCATTAGGGAGATTCTCCTTCACTTCCTGTCCAGGTTTAGCTGGAGTCCATGATTGACCAATATGTGTTGTGACACAATCATTGCGTTTACCTTTTATGATTCCGGTAAATCTTCCGATTATGTCCACTGCGTACAGTAAACCTTTTAGATGTATTGTTATAAAGACAATCGAACAGGAAGAAGCTTGCACTGGACTTAGGGTCAAACACTGATGGAGACTGCCCATCATAACTCTTGAAAATGCGAATTGCCTGGCTCTCTGGTTTCCCTAGACCAGGAGTTAGTTATGACGATCACATGAGAAACATCATTTTTTTATTTGCAGATTTGTTTTAGGTCATTGAGGATCCACAGAGTCAGTACAGCGGCTAGGTAAATAGCATTTTCAGATGGAGGACAGCAATGGCAGTGTGTGTCTGGCTGGTGTCCATTCTGTGCTGTGGGGGGGGGACTGCACTGTTTACTTTTTTCAACTTTGAAATGTCAAAAGTCACATTTACAGCTGTCTACCGTTGTGGTGCTGTGACTGGTGCTGACAATCAGGTGTGCTCTGCTGCATTGCGGAGCATGCAGCTTGTCTCCAGTTTGCGATCCACCTGAAGGCAGTGTGAACAGGACCCATAGAAAGCGCCGGTCACTGCTTAAAGTGTGAACAAAGTCTTAGACATCAGATCTTTGTACTGGAATTACAATTTTTTTTTATCTTATTCATTTTCAGCTTTTTATGCACAGAGAACAAGCTGGATAGGACTGGATCCGCACCCCATAGTCTGCTTGTTATAGAAACGCTAGTATTGCCTTCACCTTGCTGCATCCAGATTCCACAGCTCAGAACTAAATGGCGCCAGCTACAAAGGAAACTCTTACTGAGGTGAAGGAGAGGCTGGATCAGCTTCTGCTCCAACTAATGGATGACTTGGAGGCACTGAAGGTGAAAAGAGAACAGCTCAACAGCCTCATAGAGAAGGTATGTGTTATCTATCTCTCTAATGTGCACTGTCAACTAGGGCAAACCAATACCCATGACAGGATAGACTGTCAGCTCATTGGGAGTCAGTCACATCTCAGAGGTATGGGAGTGCCTCATCCCTCCAAGATGTGACTAGTTCCTGTCAAATTAATCAGGTAAATATTTAAAGATCTAGTCCACATTAAAAATTAATGAAAGAAAAAATATGTATTTATGATTTCTTTCTGCATTGGAGATACAAAACACTAGGTATGGACCTTCAGTTATGGGGCTGGAGGAAGTAATAAGTGGACTACACTAACTTCACCACACTTGTGCTCCATTTGAGATCTAGAAGTCCCTTTGCTGTGGTGGCAGTTGGGACTTGTAGTCTTTTCATTCAGAGATCCTGTGAGTGGATTGACAAATTAATGATGTGAGTGTGTGGGCGGAGCCACTTACAACCACGTCCAGTTCAAATGAATACAAGATCAAGATCCTGGGGGGGGGTACCCTGAGATTCAGGTAAGAGGGGGGAACTGGGGGTTGTGGATGTGATGTCTGAGCTCTTATCTGAAATCAGTCATACGACTGACTTGTTAGAACCTGGGGAAAATCCCCATCTTCCCTCAACTAAGACAAAGACAGAAAAAAAAACATGTTTGACTTTAGATATACTTTACCAACTTATATATTCCGGCTTTGACTGATTTCAGACAAGTGCTCAGACCCAACATATAGACCTCAACTAAACTCTCCTTATAAAATATAATGAGCTTATGTGTGTACAGTCACTTATCTGTCACCTTCTGCCTGTAAATAGGAGGATTTTATCTTTTCTGAGGAGCCTACAGCAAAATATCTGTCTTTATTTATATGTATGTATGTATGTATGTCACTCTTTTTTTTTTTTTCTTTGCAGGGCTGGTTCTGCCTTTCTCAGTCACGATATTCCATGGGAAATAAATTTGTATCTTCTCTGCAGTATGAGCAAGACATGGTTCCCTCCGTCTGTGTCCAGGGCAGGTGAGCTGTAAGAGATACAATAATTTAAATAAAATATATATCTCCCTGTTAACATATCGGGTTCTTTTGTTATGTTAAAGGTGACCGAGACCAGCCAAGATGTAACTGTCAATAAACATATGTACACAATAGAGTGGCCTTATGGTGTTGTGTCTTTAGTTCTCCTTCAATGACGCATATGAAACAAGAGGAAAACAACATAGCCCATTGCAGCCAGGAAAAATTGCAGTTGACAATTTCTACTGGTTAAAAAGTAAAGTGGACGTTTACTTGATGTGTATGATAGCACAGCCATATTTTATACCCTCTGTGTGTGTAACAGAGGAACTTTACCCATATCGTCAAAATAACAACAAAGGCACCTTAGAAATGTTTAGTAATGACAATCTACAAACACATACTTCTAGATAATTGACGGCTTTTTATTTTTTGTATACCTTATATTTATTTTCTCCCCATTCTCCTAACAGTGGCCATGTTTATTTAAGAGCAGATTACTAGATCTCTCTTTACTTCCTGGAACTCTGGCACATGTGACTAGGACATGTGACAATGCACATAATTTCTGGGAAGGAAAATGTCTTTCCCTGAGATCTCATTAGATTACAGATGAGATTTCCCAGCAATGCTCTGCTGATGTAACCTTCCCAAGATGCAATGCTTGGGTACATTACGTAATTTGTGCCACAGTGGACCAGGAAGTGAGAAAAAAAGAAATTGTAAGTAAAATAAAAATATGTAAGTTTTCATATCGGCATGCAGAGCTGTCGGAGGGGGTAAAGGTCCACTTTAATATTTCTTGGTGAAAAAATCTTTTAGCACCGCAAAGGATTATGCTATGGTGTAACAGTTCTAGATAATATAACGTATTAAACTATAGCCTTCTTCACTTTACCAGTCAAATATCTTCTTTATGACCAGCCCATAGTACACATTATGTGCAGAGATAATAAAAAATAAGAATGTTATAATTGGAGTCCGTTATTTCTTTTTATATTGACTATTTACTTTCATGTTAATTTCCCCATTCTCCCCCCACATACTCCTCTTTTCTTCATTCACTGCTCTTCAGTACAGTCATCAGGAGTGAGGAAATCATCCATGTGTAAGCTCGGGGTCGCTCTAGCTGGAGCTCACAAAGGCTGAGGACTCTTGCCACCACCATGTGACAGCGCTGGGTCAGTTGCATATCACCGATGCTGTCATATGTAGTGCGTTACATGCCTCTCCATATGGATACGTCAAGTATCCTCTTTACTCTCGATGGCTGAACACAGGAGCGAGTGAGCGAAGATGTAAAAATGAGCTGCTGGCTAGGAGGACATTAATTTGAACCTGTTGCTAGCAAGCCGTAGATATATGCAAAAAGTTTAAAAAAACAAAACAAAACCCTGCTTTACCAGCGTTTTAAACTTACCTGTGTGGGTGGTTATGGTTGTTATGTTGTATGTACGTCTTTGTTGGTGTATTTATATTGTTTTTGTTTGTGTGAAAACCTTTAATAAACACATATTTCTGAAAAAAAACAAAACTTACCTGTGTGTTCCCTGCGCGCTCCCATCTGAAAATATGAAACTGCACGGGCAGCCGCAAAGCATCTTGGGGCGGGCGCATGCGCAGTTCACATTTTCGGCCGGGACACAAGCTAAGCCTATGGGCGAGTGCACCCGCATGCAGACACCGTGGGAGAGTACGTGCCAGCAAACTCAGGAGTCCACGCTGGATTGGAGATTTGCCGCAGCGCTGGAGAGAAGGCTGAAAACTTCAGGAAAGAAGAATATCGATTTTAAGAGACATCATTTAAGGTAAGTGCTTTAATTAACGTTGGGGTGAGGGGGAAAAAGAAATGCCTTTTAATGTGTCTTTAAGCTTGATTATTTCCATGCAGTCTTTATAAAAGAGACTTTGTCCTGACCGTTCATGACTTGTCTCTTTTTCTTTACACGTTATGTCTTAGCACCTCGGAGGATGGTGTGACAGTGTTTCAGGTTGAGAATATTGAGTCGGGACATGGAGAGTCTGGAAAAAGTGAGGAAATGCGAGAAGTCGAGACAGTTGGAGCAGGGGATCAAGGTAAGTGATTAAATGTATACTCCAGTCAGTGAGAATATTCTACAATGCTGGGAAAACAAACTCCCCTTGCAATGGGGCTACCATCATAGCAGAATTTCCTGCATAGTGTTACTAATACAGCGTGTAATAAAAACAAATGCAATACTTTATCTTTTATTCCTTTCCAGTGCTGAGACTCCGAGGCCACAAGTCAACCACGGAGACTCCTAAACACCCAAAGACTGAAGGAAGTCAGAAACCGAGGCCGCCACCTAGTAATGACCCCTTGCGCTGGTTTGGGGTGCTTGTTCCTCAGAGCCTTCGCCAAGCACAGAGTACTTTCCGCCAGGGTGAGTGTATTTAAAGCATATCCCCAGCCAACCCTAAAGTTGCACTCGAGACACACAGCTAAATACAAAGCTAAAATATCTGTGAAGCGTTTACATGGAAAATAATTTATCATTTCCATAAACCAATCTTTTATTCGGGTACCCTTGACAGACAGACAGCCAGGTTGGTGCCTGCACATTTTTCTAACTCGGTTCAAGCAATAGAGGTTGGTCATGGACCCACTTTGCCCTGTGACTGTTAGTGAGGAAGCTTCAGCTCACAGACCAGGTTATCAATCTGCTCTCTTCCTGGCAGAAAGCTTCTGTTTTTGACAGACCGCATTGTACAGCTCAGTGCAGTAAAGCCTAATTGGCTTAAAGTGCTGCCCTTCTCCTAGTTTGAAGACAATATAAAGACAGACTAAATTGGACCTTTTTCAGTAAGTTTACAAGTCGGCATTATTATGTTCCTGACAAAATATACATTGAAAAGGGTTCCCACGGTGCCAGTCAGGTGATGTTTTCATTGTGCTGAAGACAGGAGGAGGCATTTCTATTCCCAGGGATCACTAAGACTGTACCTGTAGGAAATGACTAGGTGAGTGGCAGCGAAAGGGGGGGGCTGACCTATGTCAGACATTTGTAAACACAGCTTAGGTACCAACCTTTTGCCAGGCATTACACTGATCTTATTCTCCATGCCGATCGGGTGTCCCCCATCCCCCCT